AGGTAAGGAAAAAATCCTAAACAATAAATATTGAACAGAAATCAATAGAAACTTAGTGAGTAAGGGGAAAAAAAACCTCAGCATTGAATTTGGATCAAAGAGCAATAGAAAATAAGGGAGGTAAAAAAATGAAAAGTTAAAGGTCCATAAGCAAAAAAAAAATATTTTACTTTTTCTCTTTCACAGAAAGCCAAATTTTTCCCTACATCAAGTGATGGACTGACTGAAAGTAAGTACATTCATAATACTTGTATTAGCTTGTAAGATTTTTTTTTCTTTTCTGGACACGAATTTTAATTTAGTTTCACTTTTTCACAACAAGTACTCAACTCTCACTTGATTTTTTTCATTTTGTTTATTTGCTATGTTCACTGATAATTTTTTGTATTTGAATTCTAGTCACAAATATAATTTTATATGTGTATTTTTATTTGTATAGTGCATTTGAAACATACTTTAGTTTTACAAGTACTCTTTTGTGCTTTTAATTTCCACTACATTTTCATTTTACCAGCTGCTACTACTAGCAAGAGTCCCTCATCAGTGTTAAGTTCATCTTTCCAAAATAATACAGGTGTGCATTGATACCGTATTTGTATTAAAATTTTTAAGTTTGTGTACATTCAAACCTATGATCAGTCTAAATGTTATTGTTAAGTACCCGGTAAATATGATTTTAAGGAAATAAATTTGATAAATTGAGAGATACATATTCACTTGATGACAAAACATACATTGACAATGATTTTATATTTATGATGATGAAATATCATTATTTCCTGCGTATGTTTGGTTAACTTTTCTCTTTTATTTCACTTCTCAGACAGCAGTGATTCTGAAGCTGGGGTGGAAGAAATAGAGTTTACAAGTAAGTTATCTTTCTCTTAATGCACCAGTATATAGAAATTAAAAATCTAGTAAATTATGATAAAATTTCTTCGTAAAATGGGTTGTACAAGGGATTTAAAAAAAAACTTCAAATAAAGAGAAGTTATGTAAAATCCAAAGGCACCTTAGGTTGCACACATCTACCCCATACCAAGCATTACCTGAACACTCAGCACTACAAAATTTAAATCTTGTTACATGTACCATGATGGCATCTCAGATTAATGCTAATTAATGTCTACATGTAGCTTCTATATATATTGTTCAGAGAACACTAAATCAACACTTTCCATACAGGAGTCTGAAATTTTTATTACTAACTCAAGTTGTACATGTATTTCTGTATGTAAAAGATAAACGACAGAGTAGGGCTGGGTATTGGCCCGAGATTTTGTATTGTAATATTTTTAACTGTATTGCGATATGTATTGCAATATTTTCAATGTAATTTAAATGGCATTTTCTTACTATATTTACTTTTATTTAAATGCAGAATGTACATAACTATGATAAGTAACCAACACGGAAAAAAATCTTGTTCATTTCATTTAAGTTATGCTCTGAAATGTTCCCACAAAACGACTTCTGTCTTACTGTTTGGCTTAATTACATCTTTTTATAAGTCCATTTTTATATTTAATGACAAAATTCCTTAATCTAAGCATATTGCCAATATATCGATATTACAAAATCGTATTGCGATACGATATTTTTTGTCATTGTATTGCAATATATTGAAATATTGATATTATTGCCCAGCCCTACAGACTTGTCAAACTAGCTTTAACATCATGATAAATAGAATTCTACATATGGAACACTTATCCATTTATTTCCCTTCAGAAAATGGAAAAATCAAACAAATTCCTGGCAATTCACTTGTAATGCAACTAATTATACAGTTTCAGATAATGAGCAAGAAAATGAGGAAAATTTGAGTTTACTCAAATCCAAAGGGCTTTCATTATCCCTGGCTTCACTATACTCAGGTATGCACTTCAGTCCAAACCTTACCTCGGCTTGCCTACTTTGCCAAGTTTTTATTTTGAGTCCAACAAAGACTCGATTGAGTCTGTCAAAGTTTTAACTTTTCTGGTCAAAGATTATTTGTCACTTGTCTGTTTATCTGTATTCTCCTCCAAAACAAGAATTGTATATCAGTTGAAAAAAAGATGAAATGTTTAACAGTTATGGATACCATAAGAGATTTTATTTATCCCAATTTATGCTACTCAGGTGAGTGTAGTGGCCCATGAACCTCTTGATATTCTGATGCACTTTGCAAGTGTAAGATTTCAAGAATCAAAGAAATTCTTTGATTTTGTTTTATAAAACTTAATTGCTGTTAAATTCATTTCTTCCAAATGAAGTCAGAATATTAATCTCCAGTATATTTGCTTTATTACATTTACTGAATGACCATTTTCTTTTTAAGATGCTGATTTACAAAAAGTTAAACCTGACAGACAAAGGTAAGTATTGTGGTGTTGAATGTATGATTTATCCTTACCATTGTGCCATATTGTAAACAATGAAATTAAAGTTAAGAAACCATGTACAATGCTAGAGTAATAAAAATCTGAGTTGAGTTTGGACAAGTGGTCAATGTGAGGAATTGGGCGCATGGAATACATTGTGGGGAAAGTGCTTCCGTATTACAATTTTATTAAAATAATAGGCAATTTTTATGGAAAATAACTATATTATTATATACTCTCCTTTGTAATCCTAAAAATTACCTATCTGTCGTCTCAGTATGTAATCAAAAATTATGGGGAATGTTTTTTATCACTCATTCTTATGGGGAACGTCATCAGAACTCCTCTGGCTTTACTGTTGGATTTAACAATTATATCATTCTTGATGTTTTTGAACATTTTTTCTCCTAATCCTCTGCTTATTAGTGGATACAGTTACTTATTAGTGGATACAGTTTTACATAGACATGTGGTATTTTGATGTATGTGTCTGTTTAAAATCGCTGAATAAATTTTTAACACTGCATAAATGACGTCACAATATTTACGAAACTCGTTACATTGAACATCGAACCCGATTCCACTGTTGTCCACAAACATGCAACGGTTTCTATATCGAATCTAGGAACGGACTGGAAATTGATTTTGTTCATTTATATTTATGTAATAAAAGTAAAATAAAAGGGGAATATATCAAGGATGACAGATAAACGCTGTTGAAATTTTCTGCATTATTTCCAACTATAACGAGACCTTTATCATGTTTATATTCTAGGATACAATGACATTTTTCAGCGGAATAGGAAGTGTGCATTAAGTTTCATTTATTATTTAATTAAAATAATGCAAAGGTAACAAGTCATCATAGATAGTGAATTTAAACCCATCTCCTCCTTCCTTCCCATTTTTTCCCGATCCAACATTTCCACAATTTAAATAAAATAGTTTTTGTCTTTAGTTGAATCGTTTCTCTCTTTAAAAAAATGGTACTCTAGTTCATTTCTCCTTTTAAAAACATATTTGTAAAATAATAAACGAAGTCCTCAATTGATCGATGAATTAGAGAGATCAACAAATCGTTTCATTTGTTAGCAGCATTTGTTGAGTTCAGTATATCAATTTATTTTCCAGCTTAAAAATTGTTTCATAAATTTTCAAAGTCAAAAGTTATATTTTTTCATTCAGTAAATCAATCTGACATTGTCCCCACGTAACGCAGTTGGGCGTGTTCGTTTGTGGGTGAATGGGCGTCGAAAGCAAATAGAAAGTGGTGTGGCTAATCGAAAGTGGGGGATGGGGCTAAACCAACAAATAAAAGTAAACCAAAAAATAATAAACATGCACCAATTTTCAATGCTTATATTATGTCAACCTTTGAAAAAAAGTGGGGGGCGGGGGGGGGGGGGTGAGCCCCCTAGCCCCCACCCCGGTTCTGACGCCTATGGGTGAGTGACGTAATTTGCATCGTGGCATCATTATCGAATACAGAAGTTCTCTTTGCGAGGGAATGCTCTGCCTTGTGGTGGCCTTGTCTTTTGGTTTAAAGCGCAAGGACAACGACACCATTTATTTCGTTCTGTGTATATTAGTGTGTTTTTTCTATTATAAAAATTTTGGTCATTATGTTTGAATACGAGAATTTTATAATACTTACCACGTGCATTGCAACAACACCTTCCAAAATACAAAATAAGGCTTTACCTCAATTTGATTCTTAGAGTTTCAACCACAGACACCTAAGTGCATGTATGGATCCCCGTTATAAATCGGAAAACAGTAAGATTACTTTTAATTTTCAAAAACATTGGATTTTCCTGTCAATTATGTCAAAAAATTATTCTATAAAAAAATGAAATTTTTCTTACGTTCCGAGACGGACCAAATAATACAGTAAACCGTTTATAGAGATATACACAGCTCGCAAGATAGGAAACACAATTTACAAACAAAAAAAACGAGACAAATTAGTATTTAATTATTTTGAATAATACATAATTTGCAAGCACAATGTCAGAAAGATGTTTCCCTACAAGTATCTCTAACCTTCACTGCATCCTTTTCATTGAAGGTAGGAACTATAAATACTAGCTTACAGGCCGGGGGGGATTCCCTTCGCTGGAGCGGTTGCCCTCACGTGGAATCTTTCAGTGTAAGTTTGATAGTTGATAGAATGAAGGCCTTACTGTAGTGATCAGTACTATATTTGATTTGCATATATGCATTGTGTGACACTTTTGTCCAGTGGAGTGATTGTATATACCTTATGCCTACATGTATCTTTATTTTGTGGCGAGGTCAAATACGAAAAGGATCTCAAGACCTTAATGACCTTTAAAGATTCACAACCAGTCTCTTAATAGTGGCTGTAGATAAAGTCATTTTTTTGTGAAGTCAGTTACAATATGATGAGCGGTGTCGATATTGTAATGTTAAATTTTATTGACACTTATGGTACTTATTCACTAAATAAATTAAAATAGAAAAGAAAAATGCATGAACAGTTAAGGTTTGTTATCTCGAAGTTGATGGGACCATAGATCGGCTTCGAGCCATCCGGGGGTTCGACATATTCAGGGTTATAATTCAAATGGACTTCAAATAAACAGGTAGAAATTTAACATGTCAAAATCCTCCTTGTTTGAAATTTCATTCTGTATTCGACCTCTTTATATTCTATTTATCAATAGATTATTTTTAACAACGTATACTCTTTATAATTCTCAACATACTAGTATAAACTTTGTTATTATAAATAAAAGTATAATCCTTCTATTGACCTATAAAATCATGTGTATATATATTGTATCAGGGACGTAGCATCGGGGGGGGGGGGGGGGCAGGAGGGGGTAAATGTTCATTGATAGGATGGTTGCTCCCCCCACTTTATAACCATAGTATAGTGATAGCAAGGAGTGTAAGGAAAAAAATGGAAGTGGTAGTAAGTTGGCTTTGAAAAAGTTGGCCACTACTATATTTTAATTTAAAATCCTCGAGTTTGGGCAACTTTAATTTTTTTTTTTTGCTTGTCAACTTGTTCAGGTAAGGAAAAAAAATTACACCGGCTCCCCCCCCCCCCCCCCCACTTTCAAAAGCGATGCTACGTGCCTGGATACATTAACCGGATATCATCTATGCATTTAAGGAATCACTGTTTAGTTAGTATAGTATGCCAGGGCATTAACGACTGTGGGAAACGTGGGATAATTTGCATGACGGACGAAGTATGTTTCCCACTATTGTTGATGTCCCAGGCATACTATATTAACTAGACAGTAATTCATTATAATTTCATTGCACTGTGAAATAAAATTGTAGATTTATTAAACCCGTCCAGGATAATGAAAATGTAATTTTATCAGATTCATACATGTAAAATTGGTTTAAACAAAATTATTTTAGCATAATAAAATCAAACGCAAGAAAACTGATCACTTTTGTCTAGCTATAGATAACGACAATAGGTTGTGAATGTACACGGTCCTTCGTTGGATAGCTTTCCAGTTACCACGATGGTGTGGTTTGTAGTATTTGATTGGCTTTACTATTATAATCAACATTCATTTGTTCTCTCAAAAACCAAATGTATGGTACAAGAGGTACATATACTAATCTCAGCGAGATGGGTAGATTACATATGCTAGTATACATATTTACAATAATTATGAGAGAGAAGAAATTACAGGAGGACAAGCAATATCAAAAAATTGGAGATATATATACACAATTTTCGTATGAATGCTGGATAAGTACTTATAACGTTTGGATGTACATATAGTGTCTCTGCAACATCAAAATCTTTTCGAATACTACATAATGCATTATATTCCAGTAAATATCGAAATCTGTCTAATATAAGTCAAAGAGAAAAATTATTATTATTACACAAAATGCACACTCTTTCATTTCTTTCAACATTATTTCATCTACCCATCTCTATTGGAAGACGATGGTTACTTTTCTAAAATAATTTTGAACTGATAGTTCAAAATTTTCAATGTAAAATGTTAATGCCTATTTTTCACATTCAAACTTTGTTTTAAAAATTTATGTGTAATACCTATACTGAAATTATTCAAATCATTATATAATATTTCTGTAAAAACCGGTATTCGAGTATTTTAATTAAAGGTTCGCCCTCAAGAGATTAGTACCATTTACATTATATAAAAATTTTCGTTAATTTAAAACTTGTAACTTTAATTTTCTAGAATTACCGAAACAAAAACGCTTGTTTCTATATAATTGCTATGTTTTGTAGATATAGTAATTACACATATATTGCGTACATTAATCTAACATGTACAGTGAATGCTAATTTTAAAAACCTGCCATTTTTTATAATATTTACAAATCAAAGAATTTATATTAAATTTAACTTATAACAATAAAATTTGCATAAACATAAATGCATAATCCAGAAGTGCTTGCAAACTATAGAAGAATGCATGATATTTTTTTTTGCAAATGAGAGAGAATTTTTTTTCTTTTCCACACAATGTTTTTGGGGGAGTTTTAAATTACACATTTTTATTTATATATAAAAAATTAAGATTTGTTATTATTTTTATTTCGTGTTGAAATCATGGATATTTCACATTTTCTTGAAAGTCGATTGAAAATCTGAGGGCCTTCTGATTTTGCTTTCGACTTTGTGGGTGGTCACACGGTAAGGACGAAAGCAAATTAAAATATATTTTATTTAATAAAGCACTGTCAAATTTTTAAATTTCAAGAATACTTTTGCATGTATTAATGGAAAAAAAAACACAAATGTCTTAAAACTCTCATTTACGTGCAATCAGAAATATAAAATCTTCTGGTGATCATATTCAATAACAAATTCATTCTGCGTTTACAAGTTTTTCAATTTGAAGATTGGCATCATGTTCGAGTAGACAACGTCATATGTAAATGAAACTAACATAAGAATTAACGCCCTTTATGTCAGAGTTAATATGTAAATATTTACATTTTAGTATAAAGATATTATATTT